GGGCGGGGCGGGGCGGCCACCATCCATCTTCCGAGAGCAGCAACAAATGGAAGGGTGGTTGCGCTAATGCCGTTTGTGCTGGCCAGGGAGTAAAGGTGGGGGTGCCCTGCGGCCCGACGCTTCGGACAGAAAGGTGGCCTCGGACAGAGACAGAGCGAGAGGGGAGGGGGCGGCGGCGGTGCGCTGGGAGGAGAAGGAGCTGGCTGTGCTGCTTCGTGGCGGAGGTGCCTGGGTGCCCGGCCCGTCGGCGCCGTCCTTCTCGGTGTGGGCGGGGTGCCGCCGGCCGCCGTTGCGTTCGACTAGGACGATGATTCCCCCCGCGTATTCGCTCTCGCATCCGGGGGGTGTGCTGGTTGTTGGGCTAACGGGCGCGGCGGCCTGGCCGAGGGGCCTAGCCCACCTGCAGGCGGCTCACGGTACGGTCTGATTCATGCGCGTTTCCATCCCCCCTCCCCCCCCTCTCTCTCTCCTTTCTTTCCTCTTTTTTTTTTTTTTTTTTTGCCCATCCCCGCTCTGTCCCGAACCCGTGTCATTTATTATTGAGCAGATTGTGCGCCCCGTGAACAAGTGTTGCCGTTGGCCGCGCGGGCCGGGGGGTGCGGGGGCGGGCGGGTGAGCGCGGGGCCCTCCCCGGCCACGCTCGGCACAGGTGCGCCAGATTGGTGGTGCTGTGTAAAAAGAGAGAGCGGGAAAAGAGTGCGGGTGAGAGGGAGAGACAACAAAGGGCTTTTCATACCGTACAAAGGGGGAGGTAAATTCGTCGTTTGTTGACTCGACTGGGTGTCAATGCAGTCGCGTCGGCCAGTCACACTACACTCGGGATGTGGCCGATCGTATACACCGACCGGCGGGGGGCTGCGGACTGTAAAGTAAAGGGACAGCCGTGCGGGCTGAGGGGGGGAGGGGTGGGGGGTGAAAGGAAGGGCAGGGGTAGCGTTCTGAGCCCCTCGAGGTCGCGCCGGCCCCGAGGATCCCAAGACCCCTGAGGTCAAACCCCGCCGAGCCCCCACCCCACCCCACCCACGTCCCGCCACGCCCGCCACCGCAACCACCTCAGGTCGCGCGCTACACAATCCAATTTGCAGGCAACCGCCGTTACAACAGCTCCGGCCCGGAATGGCTCGAGCTCCTCTCTGCGTCCGCCAGCGGCAGCGCCAGAGTAGAGTCGGCTGCTGCCCCTGCCTCTCCCGGCCAGCTTCTACGTGCTTCCTTTTCTACCCGCATCGCGCCCTACACGGGCAGGGAGAGGACACGACACGCTGGCAGGCTTGGGGAGCAGGTGCCCGGTGCCCGGGCCGGGTAGAGGCCGAAGTGGGGCACTCCACGGCGGTGTAGGCGGGGGAGGGCTCCGGCCCGCACGGAGAGGAAAGCGCTGTAGACACACGGGTGTCCATTAGCACCCCGCCCCTCGCACCCCTTCCCCGGATCCCTTTATTAATATACTCCAGCCGCCCTGGCCGCCGCCGCGCCGCCCCCCGCCCCCTCGGCTCACTCATCAAGTGTTTACGAGATGAGGTGCGTACGTCGCACAGCGTCTTGCTTTTAGGCTGCGGCGGAGGTAGCTGCAGAAGCAGCAACAGCAGCAGAAGCAGCAGCTCCCCTCCGATGACGGTGGACGACATCCTGCGGTTGTGCAGGGTCCCGTCCCTTGCAGGCGATTGGGCGCTGTTGCCAACTGGGTAGGCAAAACAGACACAGACCCACGAATGCACCTGTCTGGGGTAGCGTGGAGCGGCCTGCCTCCCGAGGTGAGGTAGGCAATGCCGACGCTGCCGAGCGTGCCGCGTTGCCTACCCAGGACCTGGCGGGCGTTACCTTGGATGGAGGTCACAGCGTGAGTCGGCAGCGAGGGGTAAACACCACTGCGATTCTGAGCGTTGTACACCGATTCTTCTTCAATTTCCTCTTGACTATGTTGTACTTTGTTCTGATCTCTTAGTTTTTAAGAGTCCTATCTGAACATAGGCGTGTATCTAGGACTTGCCCGTAAATCACGTTTATTTTGCCTTCTTACAGGCGGGTATTGCACTCGCGCTTGTTATGACTTGTGTGACTTATTATTTGACTTCTCAAATAACTTTACGACTTTATCTTGACCTTTTGAATTGCGCACACCTAATTTTCAAAGTGGTGCGCCGAAAGCAGTGTTCAGGATGCCTCCATGCCTGTCCGTGTGATTGGCTGGGTGTCATGGAGAAGCCTCGCGTAAAAGTAACAACAGAATGGTCAGGGGCCCGTGGGCCACCCTGTACTGATAGTAATACACCAATGGGCGCAGCAGAGTTACTAGTTGAGTTTTAGTTTTGCAGCGGCCGCGCTAGGTTTGCTAGTGCTCTGGAGTGGTCCCCGCACACCATCACCACCTCCAAGGCCACCCTCGTATAGTAATATAGAGGGAAATCAGAAGATGCCACATTTAGACTCTTTTGTACTTTAATTGGTTTGTTGAGAGACAGCGAACACAGTTATGTTTCGCAACAATAAAACTACAAATTAAATAATGAAAGGAAAAGTGTCAAAAATAATACAATTATTCACCTAGATTGATATACAGGAAAATAAGGAATAAATAGGACCAATATTACACACTGGTACATTAGGCAAACACTGTTCGTAAAGAACTGAAATCCATGATGAATTAGAATTAATCATAAAATATTTTAAGGTACTAATGGTTAACACTGGTTTTTATACAGTTCATTCGTTCAATGTTAGTAACAAAAATTAGATAAAAAGCACCGTTCAAAAAGAAAGCAGATTCAGAACTAAAATTGCAACACCAAAAGGCTATAAATTTCAAAGTTTATAATCTGACTATAGAAATTGATGGAGTCAAGTCATCATCCAACCAACTGGACTTCGGGGAAGTCTACTAATAATTTAAAATCATATTTGGGCAATTGGCAACTATACATGTGGAATAAGGCAATATACATTGAGTACGTTTGCTTATATTCCTTCAGAAACCAGAGAAACTATTATTTTCTGTTTAAGTACACTCACTGGGCAAGCCTACATACATACTTTTCCTTTTAAGAATAAGAATGCATCTTAAGTAAACACTAAATTAAATATTAAAAAAAAGAGGGGTGATGAGTATTTCATATTCCAAATTGCCATGAACTTTACACAAAGGCACACATACACACACATTACAAATATCTATATACACACACAGTCGAAATTGATCTATCACACCACAATCCTGATGGAATGAGTTGAAGATGTTCTTATGAGGACATGAGATACAAAAAGAGAGCTATGTGGAAAATTTAACTAATTAAGACACTAGGGGCTTGTCTTTTTCTTCTTTGCTTCAGGGCTTTTCACGTCTTCTTCCCTAAACCTCAAATTTTTCTCTCTGCATTTCTTGTCAAAGAGTTTACGCAAGCGAACACCAGATCTGCAACATACAACAAGAAATGAGTGTGGCACAAATGAATAATTTTTGCAAATAGTATGATTTGGTAAGGGTAGCTTACTTGTACACTTCTGAGTCAGCTTGATTATACATGTCACAGTTCTCAAAAACAAGGAGAGCATCAGCAAGGACCTCGCTTGTGTTCCGATATTCCAATAAATTTAATTTGTGTTTAATAGTTCCAAAATCCATTGGCCTCTTGATGATTGTGTGGTAGTCAGGAACCTTAAAGGGGGGTAGATAATTTAATTAGAGCAGGCTAATTAGAGCTTATACAACAAATACTTGCAGTTGGTGTAACTACCTCTGATTTCTGAACAGGGCGGATAAAAGCCCAGGCATCTTTGTGACGGATAATGTCCTCCAACAACTCTTGTAGAGCAGCATTATCCAGAGGTAAGTCATCATCGTTTACATCTAATGAACGACGGGAGCGTCTTCGAGATACCGATGATTCATCATTAGTTGCTTCTGCAAAATCAAAGTGCGTTTAATTTGTTTACTTACACCGAGAAGATATTCCCTAAATCCTAAGAAGTGACATAAATTAAAGAATAGTTAGAAAGCTTGGCTGTTGTGAAATTGATGACAGATGCAAGTTCTTAAAAAATCAAAGAATTTCTATAAACATAAAACTTGACACACACAAGAAATGGGGTGAGTTAAAACTTTTCAACAGCATTTTTTTTTAACAGAGTTATGAACATGCACAATCACAATTATACTAAAAGCAGACAGATGTCAAGAAAGGTTTCAAAACTACAAAGCAGGGCACATTAGTTTGATGAACTGTACAGATAAGAGAAAACAGATAAAACAAAAAAATAATTTTTCTTAAATACAGTTGGATTATAAGAAAAAGTGCAATGTTAACCTATATGTGCCCTAAATATCCCAATGAATCCCGAAAATAAAATCTGATTAATAGCTCTCAACTTTCATTTTCCAAAAACAGAAATTATTCCTTGTATGTTTGTTTCCCTAAAATGGCTAACACATGCAACTAAGGCCAACTAGAATGTTAAAATTACAAACCATCATAACTTTGATTCCGCAGTTGTTTGGCATAATTAGAGATGTTGGCGACAGCCTTCATGGCACATCGCCTGCGGGAGTGCAGTTGTCGGTCCTCATTTTCCTCACTTTCCACTTCCTGACCAGGATCCACTTTGTCGTCATCTGTACCCCGCAACAACCCTTGTAAGTACAGAGGCAGCAAGTACTAAGCGAGTACATAGCCTGATAAATTTAAGAGCTAGAAATATCTTAGAGGTGCTGAGTGGTCAATATTGGAAAAACTAATTTGACTTGATTAAAAATCCAAAATGTCCGTGTGAAATGATTTTGCGTTAGACCTAAAAGTAAGTTTGGAAGGTAATAGAACTTCTCATCCCGAGCAATAATTGAGACATTATACTAAGAATGATAAACCAATGAATCACAGTTAACATCCCTGTAGGTATATAAATGCCAAATACAGCCAACTACCAGTACTAACCATCACCATGGGAGCTGCGAAGTTGCTTGGCAAAACGCGAGATGTTATCTATCGCTTTTGCCGCACATCGCCTGCGACTGATAATGGTGCGATCTCCGGGTGAGGTTTCACCTGTCAGCACAACTTGCTTTAACTACACAGAAAAATGTGGTGCACTCTGAACTCAGTTCCCCCAATATTATGACAAATATTTCCCATTCAGTATTAAACCCTTGAGTAACAACCCTCTACATGCAGGCAAGTTTGCACACATTAAGATAGAAAAAGAGTGATAGAATCATGCTGCAACCACCAGCTCCCTTAAGATAGAATTCACTAGCTACATTAGAGGGACATATTGTATTCCTTCTCTTAATACATGATGGTTCTACTCTAAACATTGCAAAACATTAATGAGATTACACTCAACAATCAGTGAAATACTTGCCTGCTTTATGTCTATTTGATGTCCTGATTTTACATTTCTCGCATGTCCACTTCCCTCGTGGTGCTTTTCTCATCCGAGGCTCAGCACAAGACAAATGGAAACATTTGTTACATTTCTCACACTGTAGTTCAGAACCATCCTTCCCACATGATTTGCATGGCTCTTTATTATCTTCGACGCTGATAATAAAAACAAAATTAGCTTTATAATACAACGCAGCCAATTTTTACACAACTTATCGGCTACTTACTGGGCATCTGACTCCATGATGTTGTCCAAATTGTCATCCTCATCATCGTCATAAAATACTTTTCTTGCTTTTTTGGCAGGTGTTTTTTTCTCCTTTGGCTTACAAGTAGGGCAGAACCAATCACCTTTTGGTACATTCTGTAAGAAAGTTCAGTTAACTTCATTATTGACCAGTTAAAACATAGAAGTGATCATTTTAATTTTAAGCTAATCACACTCACATGAAGCTTCGGTTTAAGGCAATACATGTGGTGGCCTTTGTTACATCCATCACACAGAAGCATTTGATCTGGGTCTCCCCTTCTGCGACACAATCTACAATTGGCATTGAGGGCAGATTTAGACCACTGAATACTTGAATCTGTAAATTTGAAGGAAATGTTAAATAAAATTTCCACAATTACCACACAGGATGTCAAAAGAGCATTTACTATACCTAAGGTAGACAGGTGAAGGAAAAGTTGAGAAAAACTAGTTGAGGCCATTAGTGAAACCTGCCACTTTTGAAGAGTTGTCAAACCATCCTTTTCTTTCTCTGTCTCTTCTTTTTCCTCGCTGTTTTTCTTTTGTTTTTCTTTGGATTTTTCCTTGTCATCAAGACCAAGTGGTTTCTTCAGATAGCGCTCATCGATTCCCTGTGATACTTGCAGAATTGCACAAGCCAAATCTCTGACACAATCATGTGCAGGTTTGATGTCAAAACTACCCATATTTGCTACTTCCCATGCCAACCTTGCATAACACGATGGGTCCCTGTCCCGACTACTGCTAGCAGTGGAGTCAGGAGTTCCAGGTCTACTGAGATGCTCGGATTTAATTTTGTCTACAATTGAGGTGCTAAATGCATCAGATTCATCTTTCACACCAGGCCAGACAAGTTTGTCACACTCTTTGTTATAGCTACGAGTTGTCAGAGCATCACGCCAGGATTGTCTATTTTTTACTTTAAGTGACCCTAATCCACCAATCCGTATCTTTTCTTCCATTTCCAGAATTAAATCTCTTAATGTTAACTCAAGAATGTCCTCCAGAGGAGTTCCAGCGTCATGACCTAATAGTGTGTCTTTGTAGAGGTTGCTTTCCTTATTGCGTTGAGACTTCCTCACTTCAACTTCAATTTCAGTTAAACCTGGGTTTAATTTGGAAATTGGACAATTTTCTAAGCTATGGTTTACTCGATCTTTACCCTGTATCAACATTGTGCGCAGCTCACTTTCTCTATAACCCCTGGTGCTAAGTCTCTCAATTAAGTCATCTAATTGATCTCTTAGATAAAATGCCCAGGTAGTGCGCTCAACTTTGGTTGCATGCACAGGACATGTACTTGGGTCAGCATTGCAGGTTAAAAGTGCAGTATGATTGGCAGACACTTTGGACTCATCATCTGCTTGCTGAACTTGTTGTGAAGGAGATTTCATTGGGCTTCCTGCAGCCTTCTGGTTTTTCTCAGATAGCAGCTTTTTGCTAGGGCTTCCCATTGGAGGGACTGGTACACTCTCAGCATCAAAATCATTTTCCTTGTCACTTCCACCATTACGCTCTTCTTCAAATAACTTGCATACATATGACAGAGTATCTTCCATTTTTGTTAGTTCCAAATTGTGAGGAGTAGGTTTACTTAGACATGAACCTGCAAACCTCTCATCATGTTCAACAAAGAGCCCAGGCAAAGAGGCAAACAGCCAAAACCGTCGGTGAGCTCTGTCAGAACCTACAGGAAGGTTGGTATGCCCCATCATCTCATCCATCAGTTGATTTCGCCGTTTCTGAATTTCACGCTGTTTTTCACTATTATTCTTTTTCTCTTGAGCAAGGCGAGCTGCCTTTTGTTCTGCACTTTCTTCTTCTTCCTCACTTTCTTCATTCTCACCCTCAACTTTAGGCTCCTCTGGTTCAGTAGCATTATGCTTCTTCCTCTTCTTGCGACCTTGTTCAATCCTGGAGTGTGAATCATAAAATTAGAACAAAACAAGAAAATTGTCAAAGGAAAATAACAGTAAAGGGGAAATTGCCTTACATTTCTCTCTCTTTCTTGCTTATCTCTCTATCAGCAAAATGCAACTCAGTACGCACTTGCTTGGTTTTCTCCATTCGTTCTTCAATAACATCTCTCATTGCAACATATGTCATAATTTGGTTTATTAGGCAAGTCAAAATTGAAAGTTTGTCCTCTGAAAAATAGAAGAAAAAATATGAAAGAAAAGTGGTGAAATAGGCATGGATTTAAGTACCTGGGAGTGATTCTTTCAGCATGCTACAATTTACCTGCAGGAAGCTCATAAATACTTGTAGTACTCAGAGACTTCAGAATATTCATATTCTCCATTTTCCACACCAATCCAGGGTCATCCCTAGTTGTATAGCCACCTCGCTCTCGGTATCTGGAATAATCGGAGGATAAAATGAAGACAATTCAAATATTCCCTAAACCAAAGGTAATAAGAGTGAGTAGCTGACCTCCACTCGGAGCTGATATCGCCTGCACGGTTGCCAGACTGAAGGAGATGTAGTCTCAGAACCTCTGTAAGTACTACAGAGTCCAGTTCTACTTTGCTAAGAGGTTTTCCTTGAAAAGTTTGACTCCAGGCAGATGCTGCTGAAGCTATCCTTAAGGCTTCAGTTGTGGCAATGTCACCTTCATCCAGGTTCCCTGCATAGATAAAATACAATCAATTACCGTTAAAGAGATTCAGCAGGCACCACGAGTCCAGATCGTTAACCAGGAAATCGTCGTATCCCCCCCCCCCCCGGTTGAGGACTAAATAAGCGGGTTTTTGAAAAGTCGACTAGTAAGCAGAATTTTTTTATGTAAGCTAGAACAGTATTAATAGCTCTATTAAACAGTGCCTAATACGGTCAGTACATCAAGATCCACTAAAAATTTACACTACGGACGCCCAACATCTGTAATTTTTTTTTTTTCGATGGGAATAGCTACATTTGCAATCTTTTGCAATAAAAATCATACAAATGACATAGAACCGCAGAAAAAAATTTGTTACAAATAATCATTATCTCTGGGGCTTGAATTAACAAGAACTAATTAGTGATTAAAACAATCCCAATTACCAAGAACTGTGCCATTAGACATGGGTACTTACCAGCAACAGGTTCTGTTAGATCAGCAGGATTAGCATCCTCCAAAGCATCTGCCTCATCCTCTTGCATTTCAAACAGTGCAGATAACAGCAGTTGCAGCAAATCGTTCAGTGGTCCTGTGACCTCTGGCTCAACTAAAGCTCTCTCTAGAAGCTCCAAAGGCACACCATTGGGGAAGAAATCTTTTACTTTTAAGGTCTCAGAGAATGAATGGAGGAATTCCATTACCATCAACATGTCTCCAAAATATCTGTTAGGTATTTTGGTGTGCACAGGTGTAGGTTCTGGTAGAATTTTCAGGTCTTCACATTCCAGGTCTTCCCTTTGCCTATTCCATTCACGAATAAATTTAGCCAACTCCAGTTTCTTTTCACGGTTAGCAGCTCGAGCTTTCAACAATTCTTCACGTCTTTTCTTTTTGTCCTCAATAGCTTTAATTTTCAGTTGTTCCCGTTCTTGAGGATTCTCAAACTTTCGTCTTTTTCTTACTTTACCTGTCAAGGCAGCCTTGCCATATTTGTCTTTAAGTTTCTGAGCAGCTGTCTTTTGAGGTGAAAGCGATCCGCGTTTTTCACCATTTGATGTACCATTGGGCGATTTCTTCGTCATAGTTATATATTTTTGCATTGTTTCTTGTCTGGACTTTTTACCTTGAGGAGGAGTACCAGTATCAGGTTTTGCCCGCTTAGTGTACTTTCGTTTGGGACTTTTTGTTAACAGTAATTGTTGCTGCAGCTGTCTTTTGACAGCTCTGCTTGATGATGGAAACACAGGGTCTTTGCCAGCAAAGATCTGATCAAACTTATACTGATGAATTTTGTATTTGTTTAATTCACTTTCCTGAAAGAGCAAAAGAATAAGCTGTAAGCTCAACACTTGTTTCAAGAATGTTAATTTCGGCATTTTAGGTGGATAATTGTGCTTATTCCTAGTTATAGAAGTATACTATAAAACAGTCTAACCTTTATTCTCAAGATGCCATCTTTGTCCATCTCCAAAAACTGTTTGAGAAAGAGCCTATTGCGGTCTCGAGAATACATGCGTGGTCTTCGCCGCACTTGAGATGCTGGCAATGTGTGCATCTCACTGATATCCTCAGCAGTTCTGTCTGATAGTTCAACCTCATAACGAAACAGAGAGGGTGGAGGTTGAAATTGTCGTTGAGGATCCCTAAGGTACAAAAGAGCAATTTAAGTTACACACCAGAACAGTTGATAGAGGCTACAATTTTTTGCCAGTAGAAAGGACACTTACTTTACTTCACTAGGTTTATTTGGGTCTTGGTTAGCTAATTGTTCAGCTGTTGGCTCGGTGACATGAACAACATAGGCATCCGTCCTATAAAAAATAATCATAGAATTCTTGATTCTTAGACAAGAGAGTAGAGTGAACAAATAGAATTAAATACACTAACCAAGGGCCTCCTTCTGTCAGACAAACTTCTACTGTTTCTCCAACAAAGTAGCGGTCTCTGACATAGATGTAAATGTCTTCAACCAGATCAAGTATGCCTGTGCGATGGGTCTTAGAAGCTAGGTAAAGAACTGGTACCTTGAGCTAAAAATTAAAGCCAATTAATAAAATGCTTGTGAGGAGCTCTTATCTCTACATTTAAAATAATACACTAGTTTCAGTTTCTTACCTCCATAGGAAAATCTTTGAGATTTTGCTTAGCATTTTGCTCTGATTTTAATGCTTCTTCAAAAGTTAGTTGGGGACGTCCAGTTAATGAACATTGCCATACAAGGGAATTGCATAATATAATTCTCTCGCAATACTCCCTGAAACAAAAATAAAAAAATATGATAATTAGGCAGTTACACACCATCAGCCCACGAAATGTACACTGAATATGGCTATCAGCTATCAAAAATAAAATTAGAATTATTTTTTCCCCCAAAAAAGGTGGTGTGTGTGAAAAACAAAAACAGTGAATAGGTTGATGAGCAAAAATTGTGAAAAAAGATCCCAAGCTACAAATTTGATAAACCACACACGGTTTAACCCTTTGATGACTCCTCTCCACCTTCATGTTTTCAAGGTTAGGTAAGAGATGCTATGTGAGAGGAGCACTGTAGAGGTTTGGGGTCCAATCCACTCTACATAGACATGATCAACTAGTTTATAAGTGAAATCTGATGTATTGACATAAATTTGTAGAGAATGAGATGATCAATTAGAGTATTTGAGCATTCACAACTATCAGTGTTGGCCTAGATTAAAGGCACCTGGTTGCAAAGCCAAAGCCAAACAGCTAGTTAACTTCTTAAGTGCCAATTACATAGAATGCCAGAAAATTGCAGGTCAGTAGGGGGAATGTAAACAAATAATGTTATACAATGAACGAGATGACGCCGGTTACAAAGGTGAGGGGTAATATCTTTGTCATGTTGGGCATCGGAAAGACGAACTCAAGTGAGCCGACTACGAGTTCAGATCTTGACAACCCGGACACAACCAAACTTCACTTACTCGTAATCTCGAAATATTTCCTTAGTAAGCGGACAGTAGAATACTTCGTCAGAGCTGTGCAAATCTGGTGGAGGCTTCTTCCTCTCGAAGGGCTTTTTGTCCAGCAAAGGCATGATGAAGCTCCGCAAATAAACTTTTGGAGGGAATAAGTCAACGTCTTTACGCTGGTTAAGGTCCGCGAGCTTGGACCAGGAGGACCCCGATGAATTTGCCGCACACCTTCAGCACACAATCCGCGTCACATAGCAGACACAAGCAGACGATAAACACAGTGGAATGTTCCCATGATTTTCCCGTAAACCGTCAATAATATGGGTGCGATAAATAGTTGCACAACTAATTGATAATGCAATTACTAATGTCAGATTAAACAACGGTATCGTCGGTACACTTTCACACCTGACAATGGAAGATGGAATGGGTGAAATGGATGCGCGCACAGCGCGCTAGCGCGCTACCGGGTACGTTCCTGCACCAAATAAGCGGAACAGGCAGTATAACTACTTAATTCACTCTTTGAAAAATGTATCAGTATATTCACTTTGATCCGTAACTGATATTACTTTTGTTCAAGACTAATATTTGGCAATATTTATATCTTCTTCACGTATTTCCAGAAAATTTGCCTAACTGGAAAGAGAGGTAGTACACGTTTTAGATGGCAGTGTTTCCGTGGTGGGGGTAATTTTCCCGCGAAATCATTAAACCGTTGTGTACTGTGTGTCAGTCCTCAAAAATAGTTAAGGAAAACGTTTCATCATTCCCAACCTTTCCCTGGATTATATTGAAATGATTTGGCCGATAAGATGGTGAAATGGAATTCACAAAACCATGATAAAACTGCTGCAAAGTTAAAACATTCAAAGTGGACGATCAGCCGTCGTCTGCTAAGCTACTTCCTATCATATTTCTCATCCCACACATGCGTTCACGTTCACTTGTTTACTCATTCAGTCCTTAAACTCAATCCAAAAATAATGTATTTTCTGTATTATGCGAAACTGAAATCATACCATTAAGTGCCGATGTCTGCCATGAAAGATGCCGACCTCCCGGATATTTTGTTTAGCGAAATCTTGCTACAACTATCAACCTTCCCCAGGATCACCTGCCTTTTTTAACCTACCCAGTGACTTGGAAAGGTTAGTATTTGTAGACGAATGTCAACATTTTAGTCTGCTGTGGCTTATGCTGTGTATGTCTTGCAGCTGTCAATCATTGGTAAATCCTCATGTCGCCATAAAACTGTTGTGATCATTACTGCCATGAAGACACCAGTAATCTCTCTAATCTTAATAATTCAGAATCAATTGGGTAAAGTGTTATTTTTATTTTGTTCGCAGTCGTGTAAAGTGGGTAGAGAATGCGGGACGGTCGGATTTGAAAGAGAAGACTGTTTCTACCCTGTCTGGAAAGTATTACATATGTGCAGATCACTTTGAACCTTATTGTTTCATCGACCCAGCTAAGAGATCACTTCTGAGGAGAGATGTTGATGTTCTCCCCACAAATTTTAAAAGCAATTTAGCCTCCTTAGCCAGTATGGATGACAATAAAAGCTTCCGTGACAGTCAAAGTATGCACTGATTTTGAGCACATTGTCGTTTTAATTGTTGGTGTTGTTCAAACTAATTTAATGTCTTGATGATAGGTACCTTAGCCGGAACGGTATTGGCTGAAGTTGAGTCGGCACAAGAGATTTTAAATGCTGCAGTTGTATCAGAAGATGTTTTAGATGGTGCAGAATGGACAAACATTGTAGCAGTAAGCTTAAGTGATGATGGTAGTCTCATGTGCAACACATTGAATTCTCCATCTCAGGTAAAGTGGTTCTCTTATAATTCTATATAATAAAAATCATTACACACCCTAATTTTTATCTTTTCCATGTTTCCTCTGAATTTTTAGGAATTGACCGAGCACAGCGTAAGCTTTAATTCAGGAAATAATGCAGACTCCAATGAAATGGTTATGGAGTGTCTGATGCTCTGTCGTCTTTGTGCTGCTCTTGTTCAAGTCAATATGCTTGTTTCAATATTTGGTGATGAGTCAGATAAGGAAATAAAGGATATGATTGATCAGATCATACCTGGCCAAGTAAGTCTTTTTACCGAGGTCATTCTTTTATATTTTATCTCTATCAAAGACATTTAAATAACAAAATTTTTCAAACGAATCCATATTTTTTGTTAAAAATACAAACTAGGTCATGATGGATGATGGTTTACCTCAGCGAGTTTGCACAAGTTGTGTTGAAAGAGTAAGAAATTGTTGTGAAATAGTTGATTCGTTTAAGGCAGCGGATTCTCGCCTGCGACAAATGGTTGAGTTATGTAACTTAGATGATACAAATGGGAGTCTTACTTTACAAGACAATGGTAGTCTGCCTATAATACTTCAAACTGTTGATGAGTCTCCAGAAGTAGAGTTGGTAAGTTTTCAGCTACTGAATTACTAAAACCACTGATTTCAAAATGTTGTCATCTTAAAATCTTCTGCAAGTTAGTTTTGGCTTTTGATCAAATGAATTTCATGCATTCAAACAAATAATACTTCATTTCTTTTCTACATAGGATGGTATCAATACTAACATAACTTCACACTTCTCGGAAGATCAAACAACTTTAGATGGCTTTGTCTCTGATTCCATGCAGTAAGTATGCTGATATTTGGTAACAAATTTTTCAAAATATAATCTTATCCAAACCTCTGGTATTTCAAGCTGCAACAAAATATTGAGATACTTAATTTTATAGGCTTAACTCAAGAAATGTGAAGGAAGAGGCATCAGTAACAAATTTACCCACTTCAGAGTGCATTACCATTGGTGATACAATCAACTTCAATGTGCAAGTAGATGGAAATAGTTTAAGTTTCCAGGGCACCGAACATATTAAATGTGGAGTTTGCCATCAAGAGTTTGAGGAACCAGCTGATCTCGTTTCACATTGTATGAATTATCATTCCATAAAAATTGATGATGGGTCTGTCTTTCCCACTGAGGATATTAGCAATGCTTTTCAGTGCACAATTTGTGATCATATTTTGCCGAATGGGAACTTTTTGAAGAGTCACATGCTTTCTCATGTTTTCGGAACTCATGAGTGCTCATTATGTAAAATGACTTTTAAAGAAAAAGATGATCTAAATATTCATCTTAGTGAAGATCATATTAATTTTCATGGATCTAAAGAGAGTAATGAAGAAGATACAGATCATAGATGTGAAGATTGTGGTAAAGTATTTAGAAGCACAATTGCCTTAAGGAAACACAAAACAACCCACACAGGGGAGAGGACAGTCTTATGCTCACTCTGTGGTAAAACTCTAGCAAATCTGAATAGTTTGCGAGTGCACATGAGAATTCATTCTGAAGAAAGACCATATACTTGCAGTGAATGTGGGAAATCATTCAAAGGTCCATCTGAATTACGTTCTCACTCAGTCACACATTCTCGGGAAAAAATACATAACTGTCCTGAATGTGGAAGAAAATTTCATTCTAAAGGACTAGTGAGACAACATATGTTGAGCCACACTCATGACAAACCACATAAATGTGACATGTGCACAGCCTCTTTCAATCGCTTAGGTAATCTGAATCAACATAAGAAGAAGCATGTAGATAAGACTGTAATTCCGACTGTCACACCTTTTGAGTGCAATGCATGCGGAAAACGATTTCAGTCAAAACTCACATTAAAGTATCACTTAGCAAAGCATACTGGTGATAAGTATCCATTTGATTGTGAAATATGTGGTAAAAAATTTATAGCTATCGACCCTTACCGTGTTCACATGAGAGTTCATACTGGTGAACGTCCCTTTGAATGTGAAATATGTAAGAAGACATTTCGCAGTTCCGGAACTTTAAAACAACATATTACTTCTCTTCATAGAGATGACTTTCCATTTGGTTGTCCTTACTGTCAGAGGAGTTTCAAGCGTCTGCAATCCTTAATTGTTCATAAAAAAACCCATACTGGAGAGAAACCATGGCTATGTTCACAATGTGGACGAGCATTTGCTCAGAAAGGTGATATGATCAAGCATACCAAAACCCATCGACCTAATGTAGAAGAAGAGGAGATAATAATGGAAGTTGATACTATTGATGATTTAGCATTAGACAATGAAATTTCAAAAATGATTTTTGGTTAACCTGGAATATTTTAAGTGAAATTTTTTACCCAGGTTTGTTACAAGAAAATTATTGGCTGGCTGGCAATGAATTTGTTTTGCAGTTTTTCACTCTCTCTCTCTTGTATTGTTACTTGTTTTGTTACATTTTTTTATTGCTTTGGTAGAAATCAATAATTAAATATCAGGGATAAAAACAAAAATGTTTAATTTTTACCGGCAAGCCATCATTGTACAGTCACACATGAGAAATATTGTCAATATTATACAGATATAGTTCTGACAATATAATCTTATCAATGTAGATTCAAAATGTTAAAAGTATCGGTCCAAATCCAGAAATTCATCTACACCAGAGATATATGAGGAGTGATTGTCATCAGCTTGTAGATCAAACAGACCTGTAGTAGGAGACTTTGACTCAATGGCATGATTGAGAATTAAGTTATGGTCTCTTGAAACTTTAAGTGATGCAACACAAGCTGTTTCAGGAGTTACCTCAGATTTAAGAGGAAAGGTTTGTTCTGAAAAATGGTTAGATTGTTTGTCAGCCATTTCAGGTACATGAGGCAGAAGAAAATCTTGCGATCCTACAGAAGATGGTTCATGATTTTCATTTGGTTGAGTATGTTCAGAAATTTCTGGCTTTGAATGTGATTTGTAAGGACTACCAGGTTTAGGCTCTCTGAAAGTAAAGGAATCTTGAAAACTGTCATTAACATTTAACAAAGAGGTTGAACTGAATGCATCGCTTGCTAAACATGATCCCAGGTCATCAAGGAAAGATTTCTGCCCTTTCTCTAATATATTGGAGAGTTCAGCATGTGTTTCTGAGGAATCATTTGACATAAATGAAATTTCATTTGACTCTAATCTAGGGAAACAAGTAACTTTGCCAAGTGAAGCAGATTCTCCATCAGAAGGCTTGTCGTCCACATTAGCTAAAAGATTGAACTTCAGAGAGCCACTTAACAAAATGTTTTCAGTACTTTCATCCTCTCCATTTGTGATAGCAGTAACACACGGACTGACTTGATTCCCGGATAAGATAGTACTGCTTTCATTTAGAGGCATGCATGATATTGGGGCAGAATTTACAATGTATAGAACATTTTGAATTGGAGTAAATTTGGATGAAATTCCTTCCAGTCCTACATTAGAACCAATGGTTAAAGTTTCTTTTGGAGGTATTTGCTCAAGTATTTTGACATCCAATTCTTTGCCTTTTCCACTGTTACCTAGGAAAGTTGATTTACATCCATTTAAGGTCTTGCTACAACTAGGAAGTGAGCTGTAAATAGAATCAATGAGATAGTATCCAATGAAAAATAAAATTACTTTCTTGTAAGTTAATAACTAAAAACTTACCCCAATGAAGATTTTGGCAGTATGTTTTTTAGCTGCACCCCTTGGAATTGTGTTGGATGAAACAGAGAAGCTACAACAGTAGAAAAAGATTTACATCAGAACTAATTCAGGATAAAACTTGAATAGAAAAAAAAGCTGTGAATAAGTTCCCCATAGATTAGGAATAATCTTGCTAAGACCAACTCACCACGTTCTTTGTCAATTTTATTAGACAATGATAAGCGGGGAAAGAGTGTTGGCTCTGCTTTTCTTATGAGTTGGTTGCGTGCTTTGTTTGTAAACATGTTAGGTGTGAAATGATTTGCACACACATAATATGAATGAAGATTTGGTTTGTTTTTTAAATCTAGTCTTTCAGCTCCTGATAACCACTTTAAGGCACTGAAATTAGAGTGAAAGCAAGTGAGACTTGTAGACAGAACTAGCCAAACATGTTATAAACATTATTTTTTTTAAACACTCACCGATTTCTATCTTTTGGAAGTCTAAAAAGAGACACACCACGATAATTTCCTTTGTTACACCATCGCGCAATGCAGTAGTTTGATGACCTTTTCATTTTCAGAGAGCTAAACAACAATCAAAATTGAAGTTAAGAAAATTAATATCTATTTGAAGATGTATCTTTTAGAGTTCAAGTCTTACCTTCCTGAGGCATTCTGTCTTTCAGTTTCATTAGTGAGACCAACTTTGCATTGATTAATTTCCTGTAAGCAATCATATTTTTAACTATTTATTCACTGTCTAACTCATGAAGAGGAGATAATAAAGTCCTAGATGGTCATAAAAATACACAACTTACATTTGTACTTTTGATAAAAGCACATTTTATCTTTTCCTGAGCTTCCTGACACGATACTATAAACAAATTCCAGGTCATCAGTCTGGTTTTGCAAGTATCACAGACGCATAATCTGTCATTTTTCGGCAGCAGCTGGAAGATAAAAGACAGTTAAAAACTCCGGACAAGCGAATGTACATAGTATAAAATATAAGTGTTATGAGGTAATAGTGATAAACATACCAAGTGTGTATCAATATACTTGTTTATTAAATAATCTAAGTTTTCCTTCCTGCCTAACTCACTGTTGACATCTGTCAGTGCGACACCATTTCCTGGTGTCGCACACAGACGGCAAAACGGCGATAAAAGTGACAGAGACATTGTTTGTTTGTATTGGTACTGAAGCTATCCATAACCTCACCAGTCAAAAATTTGACATTCCCGTGTTTGCGTGCGACACAAGTAGGGAGTGTGTGGTTTGACACATGACAATCTAAGCCATGGCAAATTCTTTGTGTCTTGAGCTATCCAAGTCATCTCGAGAAAACAATGACACAAATAGGGGGGCATAAAATCGAAGAGAAGGTTAATTTGTTAAATCCTGACTTTTTCGCCACTCGCCATTCATTTTCTCAGCTGTAGCAAGATGGCGCCTGGAGCGTGTTTACGACGGCTGACTTAGCTTTACGAAGGCGCAGACAAACAAAACCCTAACCTAAGTGACCTCCTCATACGGTTCGAAAAATTGTGCCGGTGAAGTGCGGGGTTTATGCTGTCAAAGTTGATCAGAAACAGCTGGTTGTTCAAGAGATAGCGTTTAAAATGACTACGTCTGGGATTCCTGATAAAATTTGGCAACCGAAGTTTGGTGTTCTCGAAACCACGTAAGTATATCGCTTAAGAATAGTGCAGCATCTTTACTTAACATTCTTAACATCATGTAGTTAAAATTTATGGTTCTGACATTAATACTTGTCACGAAATAATTTTGCCTATTAAGTTTGTTGGTGCTTCCAAGTACTCAATATTCCAAACTCACTACCTCTTCTTTCATTTAGTGGGTAATTGGTTTTCTTATCAGACACTAACATGACGTTACTTCCAAAATTTTCCAGGATGGGCGAGATTGTAATTGAACTTTACTGGAAACATGCTCCAAACACATGTCGAAACTTCGCGGAGCTATGCAGGAGAGGGTACTACAATGGAACTAAATTCCACAGAATAATCAGAGATTTTATGATTCAAGGTAGGTCTTGCATTGTAATTTAATGGTAATTTACAATAATAGAAGATTTAATCAAAAGTCTTATCCATGTTTCATTGTTAGGTGGTGATCCAACTGGAACTGGTAAGGGAGGTCAATCAATTTACGGAAGAGAATTTGATGATGAAATTCATGAAGAGCTGAAGCACACAGGTACAAGTATTAGACTCTTCTAGAAAACTGCTGCAGATACCCCCTCCTTTTTAGACGGTCCCCAAGACTGTCTCTACCAGGGGAATATGGCGTTAGCGACTAAGGGAGTTGGGGAGTGGGAGCTACTCCCCTCGAGTGCGAGTGGCAGTCTTTTTAGGATGTTCACATTTTTAGAGAACGGTTTGACACCCTTCTTTGTTTATTTACTGTTTGATAGCGAAAATGAATGTGATCCGCAACAGCAGACTACCACTTGCACTTGAAGGGAGTAGCTCCCACTCCCCAACTCCCTTTACTCCCCTATTCGCTAATGCCATATCCTCCAGAAGGAGAAAACATGCTCTCCCCCCCCCCCTCACCTCAAAGTCCGCCTGTTTTAATTGCATCTTCTACATTTGTTTCATGCAGGAGCTGGAATTCTGTCCATGGCCAATTCAGGCCCCAATACAAATGGGTCTCAGTTCTTTATAACACTTGCTCCAGCTCAGTGGTTAGATGGTAAACATGCTATATTTGGTAAGTAGTGTTTCTGAATTTTCTCACCCATGAGTTTAACTGCTGGAGTAGCCTAACCCTGTTTTTTTAAAATTTCAGGACGAGTGTACACTGGTATGGGTGTCGTGAAAAGAATAGGATTAGTGGAGACAGATAAATCAGACAGGCCAGTAGATGATATTGAAATTGTTCAAAGTTCTGTGTCTATGAACTAATTAAAATGTGTCTTATTTAATTTTATTGACAAGAAAAAAACCTTCTTTTTTAGAGTTAAGTCTTTTATTAAATAAAAAAAAAAATCTTTAACATAAAACTTTAGAAACATGCTGTTCCTTTCATTTATATATTTATGATACTATATCATCATCCTCACGTGGTCTCTTTACTCCTGTCATGATGCTGGTAACTGAGCCCACACTTGTGTCTTGGGGCTCTGATTTAGGAATCTGTAATGTTGTGATAGTTCCTGGTGTCTGAGCAATCTGAATTTTGGGCTTGGCTTTGGCTGTAATGGCACCTGGAAATAAAAATGACGTAAGATATTTTCTTCAACAAAACTAGAGTGCTGTATAAAAAGTTTTAAAAGACATGCCTTGAGAAAACTTTATGACCGGTTTTGGGATGGTTATTGATTGGGTTCGTGCCACAGTTGCCAACATATTTCCTCTCTTAGCCCCAGTTAAGGTTGCAGTTTGGCCTTTACTGGTTTGGAGTTTAATTGCACTTGTCACCCCAAGGGGGCTTTGAATAAAGCTTGTTGAGTTCCCAAGGCGGCCAAGTGGGCCAGATGGAGCAGAAGTTAATGCCTAAAAACACAGTAACCATTAATTCCTCTTTTTTCATTCACCTACAAACAATCAACTCAGTCTTGAAATTCTACCTTTTTGTTGTTACGTAGCTTATAGTTGACAGATGATAAGCAATAGCGGTCAGGAGGTAACCTGATGCCACAGCTTGGCTTCACCACAGGTAAAGGCTGACTGTTTTTCAACCTTGCTACCTCCAATAGTATCTAGGTAACAGAGCAAAATGTTAAAAAAGAATTTAAAAAAGTGGGAAATCCCATTGAAATGGTGGTGTACACACTGGTACACACCTCTCGTGGGGGCGGTGTAGTGAATGAGCGGTCAAGCTGCATATTTACAGCAAGTTTAACATCATCCAGATCAATAGTTTTCTTCTTTGCATGAGTAGCATAAACTCTTGAATCGTCCAAAATACATGTTACATAACCTGCAAATACAGAAAGTTTCATTTGGGCAGTCTGGCATCGAAGAAATGAGATAGGTTGATGGCTTCGAAAGTTTATTCTAGTGCGAGCGAGAACTGGATCTTTTTCTTAAAGATATTGATCGAATAAAACTTATCATAACCTCTAAGTTACTTACGGTAAGTGAATTCCAGCAATTGATTCAACACTCTCTGTTCATAATCCTGTACTCCCATGTCTTTTAACATCGACATTATCACCTGTGCATCTTTGGGGTAGTTAGGATTTCTTGATTGTGACCCCATCGTATTTGTTTCTTTTCAAAGTTAGGAAATTACATTTGTGACAGCATTTGCGGTGTCAAATGTTGTGTTTATTTCCAGATTCCACATTCCACTAGATCCGTTCCGTCCGAGCCATCAAGGAGGCCGAGGACAACTGGTCAATTTTTACCTCTCCTCTCTCTTCTCTTGAAACCTTAGACTTAAGAAAAAACAGAACAAAATATGGTATGCAATGGAATTACTCGGTTATTCAACAATTTTCAAAAACTGAACACTCGAAAACAGCTGCTGAATTTTGCTTTTCGACCGGCCCGATGCCCGCTAGCCGAACTTAGCCGAACCCGTCAGCCGAAAAGGGAAAACTGCCTCCGCCATTTTCTGTCGTTCTTTCGCGCCATTGATGTTTGTACACAGTCTCTCAATCAATTGATTTGAATGTTTGGACATTATTTAGGAATTTTGACTCAGGTGTTTCCTAGAATATTGTGTTTTTGGGCGGTAAGCAATTTCTTAGCTGCTACATACTTTTTTCAATGAATATAGAAAGGAATTTAGTTTGTAGTACCTTTTTTGCCCCGGTCAACTCTATGGCCTAAGTTCCTTATAACCTCTACCTCATCAAAATAATAGTTTGACATGAAGTATGAATGAACGAGGAAAATCAAAATAAGTTATTTCTATCATATTACTGTTTTTGAGCTTGACTTTTTGCGGAGATTCTGTCACCACCAGTCACAATAATCTGACATTTTCAGTGTTATAGTTAATCTTTGTGTTTTCACAGGGAGGAGATATGACCTTATTTGTTGTATGAGTTATATAGTTGAAAAATTGCATGATCTGATAAATAACAACAATAGTCAAGATGATGCCCAGAAGAGGAGGAAAGCGCATCCGCATGGATGACCCGCCGCCAGAATATGAAAATCCAATGACACCCATGACTCCGTATTCACCATACAGCACACCTTATCACAATTCATCTGCTGCCACTCCCATACACACAGGGTAAGTGTTCTATTTAGTCATTATGTCCACTCTATTTACTATTTGTTGCTTACTCTAATTAAAATATATGCCCCAGTGCTGACTTGTATGCCGAAAACTATGGTGCACATGCTGCTCAAGAAGAAGACTACAGTCTTCACCATCATCAACAGCAGCTTCCACAGCACCAGCAACTTCCGCAGCATCAGCAGCACCAACAAATGTATCAGCCCCAAGACCAGCAGCATCAGCAGCAAGCGGAATATCAGGCTGAGTTAGAACGGCAGCAACTAGAACGGCAGCAACTGGAACGTCAGCAATTAGAACGTCAACAACTGGAACAACAGCAACTTGAGCAGCAACGGCAGCATCAAGAACAGTTGCACTTGCAGCAGCAGCAACAACAGCAACTCCAACAACAGCAGCAACTCCAGCAGCAGCACCATGATCAGTTGCAACAGCAGCAGCTACAACAGCAACTTCAACAACAACAACTTCAGCAACAGCAACTTCAACAGCAGCAACAACAGCATCAGCATCAACAACAACAACAAGAAGCAGAGGAGCATCAATTGCATCCGACCCAAGCTCAAGACATTGATGAAGAGGATGCTCCTCTCAGAGGAAGAGTGACGCGAGCTCGCCTGAGAGGTGCAATGAATGCCCCTCCCGCACCAAGTACTGTGCCCAACCCAACTGCTGCCCAAATTAGGAAGGCACTCGCTGATGACACCAGCAAACAACCCAAAAAGCGAGCAGTCGGTGGTAGGAAAAGTAACAATGAAACATTATCTGAAGATGAAGCATCACTGTATTTCATCTTAAAAAATGGCAGAGCTTCCATTCAGGTCTGTATCAATTGTTAAGATTATTTTTTCTTAATTTTTTTGATACTTTATAATTTTTAATTTTTTAAAGTTAAGTTTGAATTCACTAACACTTCACTGATATTTACATTTTAGAGTACTGTTGATGACTGGATTGAAACCTACAAATCCCAACGAGATGTTGCCTTGTTATCGTTAATGCAGTTTTTCATTAATGCATCTGGCTGTAAAGGTAAAATAACCTCAGCCATGCAAGTGAGCATGGAGCATGCTGGCATAATTCGTAAAATGACTGAAGAATTTGATGAAGAAAGTGGTGAATACCCTCTCATAATGACTGGACAACAGTGGAAGAAGTTCAAAAATAACTTCTGTGACTTTGTTCAAACATTAGTGAGGCAGTGTCAGTACTCCATAATTTATGATCAATACTTAATGGACAATGTCATATCACTTCTTACTGGACTCTCTGATTCTCAAGTACGAGCCTTTCGTCACACTGCCACTTTAGCAGGTAAAGTTTGTCCTCAACTGTACTATCTGATTAATTTAATTTTTCTAATTTATTTACTAGCATCTCTTACTGTTATTTCAGCCATGAAATTGATGACAGCTCTTGTTGATGTGGCTCTAACCGTCTCAGTTACTTTGGCCAACACTCAGCGTCAGTATGAGGCAGAACGTCAAAAAACTAGAGATAAACGGGCTGCTGACCGTCTTGAGTCGTTGATGGCAAAACGTCAAGAATTAGAAGAAAATATGGATGAAATAAAGAACATGCTTACTTACATGTTCAAATCTGTATTTGTTCACAGATACAGGTAATTTTACCATGCCCTTGAGCAGCTTAGATACAATTTGGTGGTGTTAATTTATTTTAAATTCCATCTTGTCTAATGTCCTTGGTTTTTCCCGTGTGAATTTTGCTCTTCAGGGACACACTACCAGATATTCGTGCTATTTGCATGGCGGAAATTGGGGTGTGGATGAAAAAGTTTCATTCAAATTTTCTTGATGACTCATATTTGAAATATATTGGTTGGACTTTGCATGACAAAGTTGGAGAAGTTCGTCTAAAGTGTTTGCAGGTAAAATTTGCTTAATTCCAACAGATTTGCATGTCTTATTCTGCTTATTTCTTATTACCTAATGTAATTTGCATTCCCACTGTTTTAGGCCTTACAACCTCTCTATGCTTCAGAGGAATTGAAAGGAAAGCTAGAGCTTTTCACCAGCAAATTTAAGGATAGAATTGTGGCCATGACTTTAGATAAGGAGTATGAAGTTGCTGTGCAAGCTGTACGCTTGGTTATCAGCATTCTAAAGTAGGACTATAATTTTTTTCTTATCTGTTGAAAATAAAAATATGTATGTGAAAATATCTGCAGGTCATAACAATCTATATTTCCAGGCATCATCGTGATATTTTGACTGACAAAGACTGTGAACATGTCTATGAGTTGGTTTATTCCTCACATCGTCAAGTCGCTCAAGCAGCTGGAGAGTTCTTGAATGAGAGGTTGTTTGTACTTGATGAAAATGCTGTTAATGGTATTAAGACTCGCAGGGGTAAAAAACGTCTGCCTAATACACCTCTTATAAGAGATTTGGTCCAGTTTTTCATTGAATCAGAGGTATGATTTTTTCTTTATTCATGTTGTAGGTCATACTGTTACTCTAGAATGTAGCTAATGCATTATTATTTTAGTTACATGAGCATGGTGCTTATCTTGTGGATTCTCTGATTGAGTCTAATGACATGATGAAAGACTGGGAATGTATGACTGATCTTCTATTGGAAGAACCTGGTCCTCATGAAGAACCTCTTGATGACCGTCAAGAAACTTCTCTCATTGAAATTATGGTCTGTTGCATTCGTCAGTCAGCCACTGGTGAACCTCCAGTTGGTAGAGGTCCAACAAGAAAGGTAAATATAATGTAGAATTTTTCATTTTTACAATTGTAAGTTGTTTTTCTCCTTCAAAAAAAAATAATTCTTACTTTAATTTCATGTTTACCTTCTTGTAGCAAGCACCCTCTGTCAAGGAAGTTAAACAGGTGAAGGAAGACAAAGAACGTCTTACTGATCATTTCATGCAGGCACTTCCCCCTCTTTTGGAAAAATATGGAGTAGATAGCGACAAACTAACAAACCTGCTGTGCATTCCACAACATTTTGATCTAGAAAGATACACCAGCTCAAGACAGGAAGGGGTACGTCAAACCACTACTCCAACATTTTCATTATATATATACCGGGTGGCCCACAGACCCCTTCCTTTATTTTGCTTATACTGTACCAGATGCAGGCATGCGGCAGGGTTGCATTCTCGCACGGGGCCACAAGGCGCAACGGCGAGCTAGGGTAGGAAAGCCAGCCCGCCCGCACGCCTGCATGCGGTATATTATAATCAAAGTAAAAGAAGGGGTCTGTGGACCACACTGTATAATTATTATTATTAATTGAAATCTAGTGCGCTTAGTTTTAATTATAAATTGATTGATTTCTTTGTCAGAATTTAGATCAACTCTTGAAAAAAATACAGAGAATTGTTGATCGATCCACCGATAATGATGTTTTAGAAGCTTGTGCCAAAACTTTAGAAATCCTATGTTCTGAGGGCACTGCAATTTACACACGATGTGATGTTGCCCGATCAACGCTGATTGACACCCTGGTTAACAAATACAAGGAAGCAATTGATGAATGGCGCTCCCTCATAGATGGAGTAAGTTTTCTAATTAGTTATCAAATTCTGAGTGCTTTACTTCGCTTCGCTTGAGTCAGTTGCAGCAGAATTTGTCGAGATTGTTCACATTTTTCTCCTTGTGTTAGGGAGAAGAACCTAATGAGGAAGAGACTTTCCAAGTTATTACAAGTTTGAAGAAAGTCTCCATTTTCTCAGCATGTCATAATTTGGGTCACTGGAACATATGGGATTCAATATTCCAAGACATCAATGATGCCAAAGAAACTCGTAAAACATTGCCTGAAGAAGTTAGTTCTCAAATCTTATCTGTCAATACATATAACATCTAGGAAAGCTCAAAATTCAGTACCATAAATGATTTCACACTCTTTCAGGCTATCAAGTACTGCATTCATGCTTGTTACTATGGTATACTATGGGATTTAAAAACAATTGAAGACCGTCTAGAGGCTGGAAGCCCTGTGGATACTGAGCTGACATCGTTGAAACAGAGACTACATCAGTTTATGGATCTCATGAAACAACTTCTACCACTCACTGATGTCCAAATGTATAGAGATGAAGTAAGCCCATTTTTCAATATTATGCTGTTTAAGTCGGCTGTGTGCAATCACTCATTAAAGCCCTTTGAACATCATCTACTGCCAATTTTATGTATCAGTTACTAACTATAGAGAATGTCAGCATGTGTTTGTCCTAAGGTTAAAATGGCTGCATCATTTCAGTTTTGAAACACATAATTTTGTGCAAATTATTTTCTTTGTTCTCTCCAGGCCTATATCACACTGTGTGATCTCCTTGTTGTATTTTGCAACCAGCTTGGCCAGAGTTCACATACTGCTCTGGAGCAACTGGTTTTTGAAGCTGATAAAAGCCTGCAACAAATGCTAAATGGCTTCATTCAAACCTATGTTTTCATTGATGAGGATGAAGGTATGTAATTGTTGATTTGTTTTCAATTAATTTTTGATTATCCCTGTGCCCAATTAAAATTTTCTTACCTAACATACTTTTTATTTTCAAACTGTATTCATCCCAATTTTTCAGAGGAGCTTGATGAGCACTCCAAAATTGAAGAGCTCCATAAACGACGTAATTTCCTTGCTTCTTTCTGTAAACTGATTGTTTACAATATGATGCCAATATATGTGGCTGGTGATGTCTTCAAACATTATGTGAAGGTAAATTGCTTCCACCCCTGCTGTATTTGACCTATTGAAGTCACTCACAAATGTCGGAACTGATGTGTAAACTTCATGAACTTACTGAACCTGTTAATCTTTTTTAGTACTACAACGATTATGGTGATATAATCAAAGCCACACTTGGTAAAGCACGAGAAATCAACAAAATTAACTGTGCTCGCACTATGGTAAACAGTCTTGTCTTAATTTTCCAAGAACTGCAAACAGATGGGCAAAAAGTCAACCGTGCAGCTGAAGAATTCACTAGTGTCAAGGTACTAGTTAATGTTGACATTTTGAATGCACACCTTCAGTATGTATGATCTGTCATCCTTATATCTAACTAATCAAACATTTGTGATAGGAACTTGCCAAAAGATTTGCTTTATCCTTTGGATTGGATGCTGTGAAGAATCGCGAAGCAATCACTGCTCTTCATAGAGAGGGTATCTTATTTGCTGTTCAGCAATCACCTGATGGTCCTGAGGATCCATCTAGCCCCCCACCAAATTTGGCATTCCTTGAAATTCTTAGTGAATTTACAAATAAACTTCTAAAGCAGGATAAAAGAGTAGTGTAAGTGGTGAATCATTGAAATCAAGTCTGCAAAACTATCATCACATGATAAATTTGAGTTTTAAACTCTGAGTTTTCTCTTAATTTGCAGGCTGAATTTCCTTAATCGGAGGATATCAGCAGGTATGCCCTCTAGCAGAGGAGAAGACTGGCAACCTCTTCTGCAGTACCGCAACAGTTTGGTTCATGGTGAATCTGATCAACCTATTGTGACCTCAAAAAGGGCATACGGCAGGAAGAAAAAAGATGCAGGTACTATTGCCGGCAAATGTTTTGTACGATTACTGTACACTTTTGTAAATGTTGGTGCCTGTATCTTTCATGGTAATATTTCTTTCCAGCTGATGATGATGAAGGAGGTGAAGATAATGCTAACTCGGATGAAGAGTACAATGCAGGGTGAGTAAATGACTGAATTTCCACTTTCGGGTGTGGTGTGAAATGTGAAGTAGCATGCAGTTGCATGGTGTGCGGTGGTGGAACAAGGACTCTCTTCTTGTTCATCTATATTTTTATAGTTTAATATACACGCCACAAACAAATACATCTTGTGTTCAGGCCTTGAGGATTCACCCACATATGTACTTGTCACTTAGTAGACTGGTGAAATTTTCTTCTTAACATGTTGAGTGCGGCGGGGGTAGTCAATTCTATGTTATAGGGACCCTCGGTGTGGGAAACGCCGCACTGAACGTGTTTATTTTTGTGGCACTTACTGTTCTTGCAAATTTTACTGTTTTAAACTAAAGATGGTGAATCCATTATTGTATTGTATTATATTATCTCAGCGTATTGAAGAAATTTAATCATTTATCTTTTGAGTACAACTGCACTCTACTTAGCATTTGTCTGTTTGGTGCAGTTTAAAAAAATAATAATATGAAATTACAGAACACTATAACTTTATATTATTTTATCATGAATGCAGTGGTAGAAAACCATCAATCTAATTACCTACCTGTGCTACAGCTTCACATTAAAGTATGGCATCTCGTATCTCCCTATTCTCTTGTGGCACAAAAAAAAAATACAGTCTTTCCATCACATGTACTGTTGCTTTATTTGCCTTAGCCAATCGTACATTCTATATTTGCATAGCTTACACAATACAAATTCCAATAGAAAATTTGTGTGAGTCACGAAACTACATGTATGTTTTGTCATAAGGCGATATATATTTTGTTGTTAGGGTACTTGTGCCATGTGTGTTCGTTTTTCGAAATTTTGATCTTTTGGTTGGCCCAAAAATAGTTCTGCTGCTAGAAGATTTATTGTTTTCTTATTTAAACTGGAGTTTACTTCATCCTACCAAATTTTAATACTTACTTTATATTAATGAGATTTATTCATTAGTATGAATTTACCGGTACCCCTAATCATGATGATTTCTTTAAAAAATACAACCCATCAACATTCCTGGTCAAATAATTTTGTGCACATTAACGGCTTGTATGGTTGTGGGTTGAAGAGCTTCTTCCACATTGCTTTACACTTTTTTTTTGAATTCACTTGTGTGTGGTCTTTTTCTTTGTGCGTGCCTGAGGTCTGCCTAGGGCATGGTAAGTGAGACATACCAGTTTAAAGCTGCGCCTTCATATTAATGTTTATTACCTTAATTAGCAAAATGTTTACTATGATCTCTAGAACGACTTTTTATGTGAATGCTTAGCTTCTTTCTCTGTGCTTTCCAAAAGTTATGTTCTTATCTCAAACTTTCTCATACCATTTTTTTTTCTTATTTTACTATATTTCCTATTACTTTTACCTTTGTTTTCTCATTTTTTACCTTATAACTTGAAGTTGAGTCAAGTTGATCAATTTACATCGTATAGGTTGAATTCATGCACATAACTTGGTTAGGTTAAGATTGCACTCTCAGTTAAATAATAGCGTTTCATTAAAGATAGAATTTTTTATTGCAATGACTTCAGTGGTTGAAGCTTGTGCTTGTGTAATTGCCGTTTGTTAAGAGAATTGCATGAGTTTGCCTGATTTTTAAATGAAGCATATAACTTTTCAAGAATCTTTTTCCTTGTTCTATTGCCATCACGTAAGTATTCACTTCTTAGCAATCACAACCCAAATATGTATTCCTTTTCTTTGAGCTTTTGCTGCCTCTCCTTTTTTTCTCTCCATTTAAAATTGTAATTTCTGCATGTGAACCATTCTTTTTTCCTGGTTTTGTTTCTTATAAACATTTTTGCTTTGCATGTCCATGTCTATAGCACACTCTATAAATATGTGTTTCATCTTTATTTCAGTCCTGTATTCCCTTCCATTCTTTTATTTCCCCCCAAAATCAGTAATGCTTAGAGAATGTGCTTTGCTATGATGTGGGCTTTTATGAACCACTCCGCTTTCCCAGCCTTGTCCCTGTTTACACTTCCACTTCCTCTCTGATCTTACTTATTTTTGTTTTATTTCCAGGTACTGATGGATTCTTCTTTCAAAGGATGGAAAACATCACATTCTTCAATACCCTCCACTACCCACAATTTTTCCTTTGTTTTAAAGTCTTGTTGTAGCTTAACTGATAATGTACAAAAGAGAGTTTTTATTGTTTGTTTTTGATTTACGACTCATGCTTGAGTCATATTTATAGTTTTTACTCTTAAGATTTATTGTTAAGATAATTTTATTTCTATCACCCAAATTTTTAAGTAAAATGTGCAATAGGATCTAAGTTTTATTTGAAGTGTAAGGTGGTTTACAAACTAGTATTACTGTACAGTAAATTACAGGTTTTCAATTATATTTTGGGAGGTACAATGAAATGCCTTCATGCCGCAAGAAACCACTGAGGCAATATTAGCTCTTCTTAAATGTCACAGTTTCTTGCTAGATCCATTATTGTTGAACTTAACCCAAATTGTCTCACTTAAACAGGCTTTGCAATTTCAAGTTTTGCATCTCATGTATGTAATTTGTTTTGTTTTTTATTATATTCCTTGTAATTTTTTAGAGCACGTCTTCATCAGTTTATATCAACTTTCTAGTTACATTTCTGAATATTTACCTAACTCAAGCCAACATGATTCTCAATCTTGTCTGGATTTTATGTATGATTTTAATGATAAATGTGAATACTTTAATGAAATTGAGAATTCTTGAACATGGCATTTTCATCTCCTCAGTCCCTTTTCAACTAGCTTAATGTTATTCCAGTGGAACACCTGACTCTGAATATGTACAAAAAAATTATAATTTCTTTTAGCAGGCAAGTTCATGAAAGAGCTCCACTCTAGTAAGTTACAAGACATTTCTTTTTCTGAGCTGAAGAGCAATGATATGGTACATACATGGTGATTAGTCTTTATTTGTTTTGATTTGGTGCTGTTGTAGGGATGTCTTTTGATTTTTGCTTTAAACATACTTAAGAAGCTAACAAGTAACCCATTTGCATCTGTTGTAGCTGCAGAATGTAAAATCAATTTTGATTTATTTAACAGCTGCTAGCCTCTTTTCATGTTATTACCGATAACTCTTCAATAGGTCTCACATCCTACATCCTCTTTTAAAATTTCTAATAAGAGGTTTTGATTTTTTTTTAATTTTGTCATGAAGTTTTTTTGTGTGTGTGAAATTGATTTTTTGCTTCTTAATGTCTAACAGCAAAAAGATTTATTGGAGCTGTAAAATCTTCCTTTTGTAATTCAGAATGAGAAAAATGTTGAGGGATTGCCTTGTATTTAAGGGGGCTGTCTCTTCTTTGTTTCAGGACTCCTACACCTAAGGTTAACCGCAAACGAGTGCCAGTTGCACCTACAGCTCAGAAGCCTAAGTACGTCTTCTTTATCCGTATTAAAATAGGATAAGACTGTTCTTTGTCAAACAGTTAATAACCACCCTCATTTGTCTTGTCTTGAATCATTTGGGCTTTTTGTGATCTTTATTTGTTTTTGTTTTTTAGGCTTGATGTTCGGTTTGCTCCTGTTAAGAAAAGACTTGCAGAGGCTTCACCTTCACCCTCTAGTTCTGATACTCCCCCACCTTCTAACCACAATTCAGGAGGCAAAATAGGAATCAAGTCTGCTCTTCGCACACGCTCCACCAGCCATGACCTCAGTGTAAGGTTCAGTTCAGAGGAGAATCCTGATCGTCTCTCGGGACGTCTGAGGAAGAGGAATACGACTGTTCATAGCTATGAAGAGCTCAGTGATATTGATTCTGATGATGATACAGGATCTTCTAGAAGAAGAAGGGTCAGTTGATATCACTTTTACAAACTCTGAAGTTTTGTCTATTGCCTCTTCTATTATCAACCTTTTCTGTTTTCAGAATCGGTCAGCGGCTCAACGGAAAGACAGCGAAGTAAACAATAACTCTGATCTGAGTAATGCCATCGAAAGGGGATCAACAGCTTCTCAACACATGTCACCTGATAGAGATATTCAAACTGCTGCAAGCTCTTCGTCATCTTTGGTGGTGTCTGAATCCACAGCTGACACCCAAGATGGCAACGATACCAAATCACCGGACTCTAATGCTGGGTCTGTGGGAGAAAAAGATGAGGGAGGAGATAGTAGTGAAGAGTACGAGAACGATACTTAATTTTTAATGTAGTATTTTTAAAGATTTTGATTTGATTTCTAACCAATCAAACTAACGAAACCTGTAGAAAAATTGTCAGTAATCTATTCCTGTAATAAAGTTTAGATTGTGTGTGCTTGTCCTTTTCTTGTGTTTGAGATCTGCCTTTTTTGTATTGTTTTATTTTATAATTGTATATCTGGTTAATTTGTCTTGGAGATTTACTCGCAATCCTGCAAAGTAAATTATGTATCATTTGAAAATAAAACATTTCATTTAAAAGAAAATTCCTTCTTTCGATTTTTGAACTCAAGCCTAGTCCAACACCGATGAAGTACACCCCCATAGGTGTAAAGTTTGGCACGTCTGAAGTGGTCCCTCACTACCCCAGGGATAGTAGATGTAGCCCCCTCCTACTTACCTACTATTAGTGTGGCTAAGCTAGAGGGCTGTCAAAATTAGATACGGTTTGGCCGACCGACCGTCAACCTCGGAACGACCAGGACGACTGAAATATCGTGTTCGGTCCGGGGGTTTCCTCGCACGCTGAGTCCAAATCTGGTAGTGCCGATGTCGTCCGGGCCCCCGGGCCCGGGGACGTCATTGGGGTGGGGACCTCCCGAGCACGCCGATGACACTCCCACGACAAATACGATTCGGCTCCAAACGTCGTGTACCTGGGCTGGTGCATATTTCTTAAAAGTCGCCTAATATAATTATTATTAATAGCAAATCGCCCATAATAGTTTATTATCCTGATCATTTCACTATTGTCACATGGCAC